CACTATCGCGCCCTGCATGCATCCCCGGTCTTTAAAAAATTCCTTTTTTTTTAAGACATAACCTGGGATTCGAACCCGCACTATCGCGCCCTGCATGCATCCCCCGATACACTTCGCATACATACTAATTCTTCCAAGTTGCTTCACATTATGATCTTGCATTTGAAAGCCCTATTTGAATATGCATTGTGGCCAGCCGTCTTTGCTGGTACGGTACGGTAGGGATAGGTACGGGACAGGTACGATCGAGGGTAATACGACACCGTCTCCCGTACCGTACCATCAAACACAGCTGGCCACATACAGCTGCACGCAATATTCAAATAGGGCTTTCAAACGCAAGATCATAACGTGAAGCAACTTGGATGAATAGGGAGGTTCCGGAGTACGATTTTTCGTGCCAAAATCCGTGGAGGCGCTACAGATATTTTATACGTCGTTTTCGAGCCGTGAAAAGTTCCGGGGTACGGAACGTATGTGTTTGGCGTCATTGCCTAGGTTACGATCGCAAACACGTCACATTCCCGCGCTATGCCTTTTTATTTTGAAAATTTGTACCGATATCAAAACTTCCCGCGGTAAATCCATGTTTCTCGTACCAAATTGTACGCGAAAAATCTTTCTGCACCCGATGACGCAAAATCTCCATACGAAACATGGTTCGTATGAAAGCCAGTCCACACGGATTCTCCGTGCCGAAAAATCGTATGGAGCACGCCTGGAAAAAATCCGTAGCGCCCATACGGATTTTGGCACGGAAAATCGTACCCCGGAACCTCTCTAATGGGTATGAATGCGAAGTGTATGGGGGAATGCATGTAGGGCGATAGTGCGGGTTCGAATACCAGGATATGCCTGAAAAAAAATAGGAGAATTGAAAAATTTATAACATCCCTATGATTTTTTGCCGTCAGATACGGGATAGCGCCAGGCGTGACACAAACAAACAAACAAACACACAAACAAACAAATACCAAAATAAAGCTGTGTGGACCCTGGCTAGCGCCAGATGTTACTGAAGTAACGTCTTCTTCATAGCTACGGGAATTAAAGCTGTGTGGACCCTGGCTAGCGCCAGACGTTACTGAAGTAACGTCTTCTGCATAGCTACGGGAATTAAAGGGGAAGTTAGGCCTAAATTCAAATAATCTCCTGTTGTTGTAGTTGCTGTAGTCTTCGGGGTGCTGAGTCGAATGGTCTTGGTCCGAGGCAGCTGAGATCCTTCCTTCCTCCTTATTCGCAATCGAACTCGCCGCTTCCACCGAAACTAGGTGACTGCACCCTACTAGATGGGGATTTGTATGCAAAATGTCACTAAAAGCACCATTTCGTCCTTATAAAAGCACGGATGACCGCGTTTGGCGCATATGTTGTGTAGTCTTTTTGGGTGCTGAGTCGACTGGTTTTGGCCCGAGAAGGCTGCGATATAGCATTCGGTCCTTTGTCCCAATCGAACAAGGTGGAACAAGTGGTCACATGCTCATGCGTACACAAGTCGCCTGGTCACCGTGCCTGCAGGCTACAACTTTCACACCAAGGTTGAACTCGATTCACAGGAACGCGCCAAACAGGCTAATAAGCGCTGTGCACATAACAAAAACCATGATCGCACAGGGAAAAGCAGAACCGATTTATCGGGACCTCGGGAGGGGGTGATAAGATAAAATGTTGAGCACCCTTTATACGATTACGCTCGGCTTGACTGCTTTTCTGCTTGAGTCTTGAGTCAAGTAAGCTTGTTGTTGAGCAGTGAATGAAACGTGGCTTGTAATTACTAGTGTAGTTTCTATCTACACGATGTCAGAGATAGAGTTTTATTCTGAACCCGGGTCATTTATGCAGGCTAGGAACAATGTTCTGCTAGGAAAGCAGTGAAACATGACCTCGACGAAGGCAGGAAAGATCAATAGGAAGGCTTCGCTCTACGTAATTACATACGGAAATAACGTAGCAACTGCACGTGATTTTCATATGTAAAACAAGCGTTGTTGGGTTTCGCACTACATGATTTTTCCATGACTGTGAAGCATGCTTTTTCTGTGTCGGAGGGGTGTTGACTGCATGCGTGTACCGCATGCACCAAGAACCAAAACCACATTGCCCATGTACTTTTTGATGTGTACTTATGTTTTGCGCGGCTTGAACATTGCGAAGGATAAATCCGGAAAAAGGAAACAATTCAGCAATACTTAACTCTACGGAGGACCGCACCGATATCTACGGTAATCCGACGAGAGATTATGAAAGTTGCACTCACTCTCCGGCACGTATGGCATACGGATTTTCATGCGTAATTTTGTGCGAAACCTCCCTGTTGTCTTATGAGCGAGATAAACTCCTGCACCAAACGCTGCCCGAATCGGCCTTTCTTTTAGCGTGAAGCACAGGAGACGCACTGATCACTCCTTCATCTGGAGAGCACTCGCATCGTTCTTCTTCATTTTGCCGATTGTGCTCTCCAGATCTGACAATTATCGGCCTCGTCTGCAATGGCTGCTCCTTCACAGTTCATCGCAGCACGCGGCAGCGCTCACTCTTGACCGGCCCGTACGGCCAATTCTTTGGCAGAATACCGAGGTTCAGCCCCAGACCGAGCTCATAAAGGTCAGCCATGGCTCCATCCTCACTCTCCCATGGAGTTATGTCTTCGGCGTCACTTGTACTACCAGTAAATACTATTGGTCGCTAAATCATTGAAATAGCATTGGCATTTCATGCACTCCTTTTGACTTACATGTACGTGTAGCCGCACGCTGTGATGTTGCAGAGGGTATGTCGCGGCCGCATGAAGTCATGGTGCACCCCCCCCCCCCCCCGAACCTCAGTTTTTCAAACGGGAATAATTATTATAATAATTATTATCAAGAACGCTTTGTGGGAGATACATGTACTTGGGACTAACAGGACAGGGCGTGAAAGCCCTCGCTATGCTTTGTTTCTACCTAGGTCATCATGTGTCGTATTCGAACTGATAGAAACGTCTTTGCAATACGATTTGAAACGGCTTTGCATAAACGTGTGCCCAATAATCGTATTGCAAAGGCGTTTCTATCAGTTAAAATAACACACATTATGAATCATCGACCTTGGTAAAATCAAAGCATAGCGAGGGCTCCTGGGCTTTCAAGCCTCTCGTTATTTCATGCACAAAGTGCAATCTTTCTCGCAGTTTTTTCTCGCCGTGCGAGCACAACCGGGTTACCTTAGCTTACCGCTGTTCCAAGCCAATTGTAAGCTAGAGCGCAAGACTCCAGCTGCGTGCCCGATTCACCCAACGAGGCTACCGTCACCCGGACAGATTGCCGAACTGCCGTCGATAACACAGCTTTGCGAACCTTGCAGACTTCGCCTACTTTCCAGCAACCCCAGGAGCGTCGGTATCAAAGCGGCATCATGATGATGACAGCCGCAAGGCCCACATGCACAGCCAATACAAGGGAAAAAAACTATTTCCAGTTCTCTCTGGCCTAGCGACCGGTTGTGCCTTGGGGAAATTTTTCGGACGGCGGTTGAACTGTCCCTTTGCCTTGGCTTTTCAATTTTCCTTTCCTTTGACGTAAGTAGGCTACTACAGTACTAGTACTACTACATGTAGTACTAGTAGATCTACACATGGTAGAGTCTACATGACAGAGTACAGAGTCAGTGTATACTATAATGTACACTGTAGCTGTACATGTAGTAGTAGCGCGACACTATCCTTCAACTAACACTAACAGTCAGTACAGACTCACTGTCTACATGGTCTAGCCTAGGTATACTACGCGCAGCGAGTTTCTGTCAGAGAGTGCTTTTTTTTATTACTCCGCTGCTCGCTAAAACGGGCGGGAACGGGTTACACCATGCATGCCCGTGATGACTGTGACAGTGAGTTTTCACCTTCGCTGATCATGCCATGGTGAACCCGGGCCATACCATCAAGACTACACACAAGAGTACAGTCATAACCCCATGTATGATGTAGACCTACCATGATGATTGTACTCTTGACATGGGCATACTGCCATAGCATAGGCCACATGACATGGCCATACGTAGCAGAACGGGTAGATCTACGTGATTGTACGTCACCATGGTCACTACCGGATACCGCTATCATCCCACTGTCGTCAGGATAAGGAGTTGCAAACGATCTTCTCGACTCAAGTACTACTACTTGTACTACAGTGCGTATCGGTTATAGTGTGGTCGTATACAAGAATATACTGCCTACAAGAATGAACACTCATTTTTTCATAATCATAACACCTATTTTATGTGTATATTTATTCTTACAAGCAGTATTATCGCATAGTAGAATATATCGGCCCTAAGAATGGATTTTGTGTAGCAAAATATGCCAGATTAGCGCAAAATGTATCGCCTGTAGTAATAACATCTGTGCTCTGTGCATGCTCAATACAATAATATTCAACACAAAAAGAGAGTAATGTCCAAACGAGCATTGGAGAAACACTTTTTCTGTCCAGTCGGACTCTTTCTTCCGACTTCTCTCCTATCTGCTGCTCCGCAGTCGCCTAGCACGACCGCGAGTCTGATCCGTGTGTATCATGATTGTGTAGACCTACATGATTGTACGTGTCCACATGCCAAACATGCATTATGTCACACGTGCATATTATGTCACACGTGATTTATCGTGTCTAGGAAATATCGGCAAAAAGTCGTTTTTCAAACACCCACGCTAACCGATACCTACTGATAGTACTGTACTAGTACTACTAATAGTAATACCGGTAGTAGTAGATCTACGTACAATCATGTAGTTCTCATCTCTCAGTCTTGGTACAGCCGCCTACATGGTCTACCACAGACTCAGTAGACAGTACCAGTACCAGTGCCAGTGCCAGTGCGGCAGTACAGTGGTCTACAGCAGTACATACACTAATGATACAGGCCTAGGCTACAGCCTGTACAGCCTACAGTCAGACTGTACAGCATGGTACTTGTACAGGGTCAGGAGTCAGGAGTCGAGTCAGGACTCAAGCCAAGGACGCACTTATTTTTTCATCACTCGCAGAGTAATGCCTCATGCCATGGTCTGTAGACTAGTAGTAGTGCTGGTACACCGTACTGACAAGTATTATGGTTACCGGTATGCGGCATTTGCTGGTCCAAGCTGAAGTCCATTCGATTCATATCGCCCTGAACTCAAGTCACTACACTCTCTGTCGGTACTTGTGCAGGTTCTGATGTTTCGATTCTAATAACTTATTCTTACCGGTACCTCTCCGAAGATGTCCTCCCCCAAACCGGACGGTACTTCACACGTGAGTGCGCCAGATACTGCGACTGGTGCGCAGGATTCGCGTACAACTTCAAGCGGAGACAGCCGCTCAGTTTCGGTGACCGGGGATTCGTTAGGTGAGAGCTAGCGAGAGATCGTTTGAAGTACATACATACATGCATGTGTACTTTTATCCCCGAGCCTAGCCCAAGGGATTAATTATTTGCGAGAACAAAATTTTTAATCACTTGAGAGATTAAAATCTCTCAAGTGATGCCCACAGTGATGCACACAATAGGGCTTGAAAGTGCTACGTCACAGCATAGCAACAATTTCAAAAATTCAAAAACTGGATCCACTTGGATCCAGTTTTTGTATGGATCCAAGCACATTTCAAGCGGTCTTACCCACAGCATGGTGATGTAGCCAGTGAAACTGACTGATTTGGCTACTGGGGGCGGGGTTACAACTGGTGGCGAAATAAAAGTCACACCTGCATGCGACATGAGTGGGTTGCTATGCACCCACATACTTAGGCAATAGCAAAGTCACACCTTAGTGGATCCAAAAATAGAAATCTGATGTCAACTTACTACTCCCTGGCCGTTTTGACGTCATCACTTTCAAGCCCTATAGGGAGGTTCCGGAGTACGATTTTTCGTGCCAAAATCCGTAGAGGCGCTACGGATTTTTTATACGTCGTTTTCGAGCAGTGAAATGTTCCGGAGTACGGAACTTATGTGTTTGCCGTCATTGCCTAGGTTACGATCGCAAACACGTCACATTCCCGCGCTATGCCTTTTTATTTGGAAAATTTGTACCGAAATCAAAACTACCCGCGGAAAATCGATGTTTCTCGTACCAAATTTGTACGCGAAAAATCTTTCTGCACCCGATGACGCAAAATCTCCATACGAAACATGGTTCGTGTGAAAGCCAGTCCACACGGATTCTCCGTGCCGAAAAACCGTATGGAGCACGCCTGGAAAAAATCCGTAGCGCCCATACGGATTTTGGCACGGAAAATCGTACCCCGGAACCTCTCTAATAATGCGGCCAGAAAGAGTGAATAATGCGAGGATTGTGCGAATGAAACTATAACAAAATTAATAATAAACTACAATCGACTCTTGATAATTATAACGAACACCATTGTGTGGAAGAATTAGTTCTTTATAGCCGAAGTTCGTTATAACAGAAATGCACTCACACTCTACAAGCAGCAAAATAATCATGACTGAAAAAATTCCCCATGAAAGTATAACTGCACTTGGTTTATATGGAGCCCTACAAGATTTGGTTCGTTATAAACGAAAACGGTTCGCTACAAAGAGTCATTTTTTGTATGGATTCTAACAGGGACATGGACACTGGTTCGCTAAATCACGAAATTCGCTAAATGCGAGCTCGTTATGAGCAGAGTCGACTGTATAAACACCCAATGACTCGCCAACTCCATTGCAGTGATTTCCAAGTTGCCGCCAGCACGTGTGAGTGACCGTGACAGTTAGACAGAGTACTGTAAGACGATATTTTAACGTCGACTATAGTTAACGATCTCCGGATTTTTGTAGGTTAGCGAGGTGAAATGCTAACGAATTCTGTCGGCAAAACTGGCAAATTACTGTACAATATAGTTTTGCACGTAACGACTTCAAAATTAATGTTAACGAATTGTTTAAATTCGTTAAATCGTTAGAATTAAATGTTCATACAAAAGAGAAAAGACCAAGGAACTACAGGTTACGTTATACTGTCCACTAACACCGCCAGTTACTAAACAACCAGCTCACGCGATAACATTGCATTCTCTTTTCTTGGCTCTCCATCCGAGTCAATTAAATGTTTGTTAACATTACTGGTCTTACAGCATAGCACAGTACTATCGGGTGCCAAAGAACTGGCGTCACCCTCGTATGCGGAACCCCTCTTATTTTCATGTACAGCAGTCTATGCGCAGTAGAGTAGAATCACCTGGCATATATGGCTATGCTGTGCTTGGTGAAATTCTAGCAACGCCGTTCTTGGGCACTGCGTTCTCCTGCACACGCCACACACGCCAGTACTGTACTATGCAATTACATGTAGTATGCTGTAGCGAATCTTCCGGAGTGTTAGCCGCACACCCCTTTTCGGGTCCGAAATTCCTATTTTTGTTGACACTCGGTCTATAAGCCGCATGTCAGACTCTTGAATTTATTGGCATCCTAATGTAATTGGTATCGGTCATATATCGGAGCGTGTACCCAGTGTGCTGACAGTGCTCAACACCACGGCGGAGGGTGTACCCAGTGTGCTGACAGTGCTCAACACCATGGCGGAGGGTGTACCCAGTGTGCTGACAGTGCTCAACACCATGGCGGAGGGTGTACCCAGTGTGCTGACAGTGCTCAACACCACGGCGGAGCATGTACCCAGTGTGCTGACAGTGCTCAACACCATGGCGGAGGGTGTACCCAGTGTGCTGACAGTGCTCAACACCATGGCGGAGGGTGTACCCAGTGTGCTGACAGTGCTCAACACCATGGCGGAGGGTGTACCCAGTGTGCTGACAGTGCTCAACACCATGGCGGAGGGTGTACCCAGTGTGCTGACAGTGCTCAACACCATGGCGGAGGGTGTACCCAGTGTGCTGACAGTGCTCAACACCATGGCGGAGGGTGTACCCAGTGTGCTGACAGTGCTCAACACCATGGCGGAGGATGTACCCAGTGTGCTGACAGTGCTCAACACCATGGCGGAGGATGTACCCAGTGTGCTGACAGTGCTCAACACCATGGCGGAGGGTGTACCCAGTGTGCTGACAGTGCTCAACACCATGGCGGAGGCAGAGCGTAATACAGAACAACAAGGACAATCAAGGCTTGTTTGCTGCGACTTGAAGTTTCATGCTCTCGCAATCATCAGGCAACACATTGTTGTTCTGTTCTGTATCGGTAGTATAAGATGTTACCAATGGGTAAAACGTTGTCTTTCCCCCTTGTCAATGGACTAGTATATGTTGGGCTGGGGATGTGGTGTTGGCTTGAGTTGACTGATGTGGTCTTTGAACACAGGTCAGTGCATAAATATGTTGGGTTACGGCGTGGGTCTCAGGTGGTCTTTCACTGCAGGTCAATGTTGGGGCATGGTGTGGGATAGCGTGGCTGGACTCTCAGGGTTAAGTCACAAGTTGTGAACCTGACGAAGGCAATTTGCCGAAACGTTGTGATATTGTGAAACGAGTTGAATTATTGCAGTGTTAATGGAAGAGAGCGTGCGGACTCTACTCCTAACTGTTTATGAAACTGCAGGAAGCCGCCTCCCCACTTTTACTGAATGGTGACGTGTTATTGTTATAGGATTCAACAGCATGTGACAGTGAGACTCAGAGTGTTTCAACTCACTACTGATGACAGTGCATCTCAACTGCGTATGGATGTTAGGATGTGTCAACTGCATATGCGTGTGAGGGTGTTTCAACTTCATGTGGATGCAAAGGCGGTTCAACTGCATGCGGATGTGAGGGTGTTTTAAGACTGCATGCGGATGTGAGGGTGTTTTGAAAACTGCATGCGGATGTGAGGGTGTTTTGAAAACTGCATGCGGATGTGAGGGTTAAGAGTAGAGCCCACACGCTATCTTCCATTAACACTCTGCAGTAATTCAACTCATTTCACAATAATTATTACAGCGTTTCGGCAAATTGCCTTCATCAGGTTCACAATAGGATGTGAGGGTGTTTTAAAACTGCATGCGGATGTATGTGAAGGTATTATGTGAACGTGTTTCAACTGCATGCGCGGATGTACGGGTTTTTCAACGGTGTGCAGATGTGCGGGTGTGTTCATAACTGCATGTGCATGCGAGGACGTTTTGAAACTGCATGCAGATGCGAGGGTGTATCTAACTGTGCGCGGATGCGAGGGTATATTTAAACCTGCATGCAGCTGTGGGGGGGGGGGGGGTGTCTAACTGTGCGCGGATGCGAGGGTATATATTTAAAAATGCACGCGGATGTGAGGGTGGTTCAACTGATGTCCTTACTGACATTGTTGTCACTCTTTGTCTCACTGCATCGCAGACAAACCTGTCCCGGTCACCACTGTAGATCGAACAGTCACTGCCAGTGCTACAGACCAACATGTGCCCGTCACGTCCACAGATCAGCCAGCACTGGCCAGTACTCCGGATCAGGTTGTCCCCATCGTCGCCGATAGTGTCCCGATGTCACTACGGACCCGCAGCACACTGGACATCCTCTCTTTGGCCTGCAGTCTGCCCCATGTCAATCATGTCTTTGAGAAACTGCCGCAGCTCGAGAACAGACAGGCACACACACTTGCAGTCACCCTGCTCAGCCGTTACAAGGAACAGGTACGTATCGAAATGAGTGAGGGAGAGACAGACAGACAGACAGAGACAGGGAGATAGAGACAGACAGAGACAGAGAGGTAGAGAGAGGGAGAGGCTGAAGGAGCGAGAGTGTGTATGTATGTGTGTTTTGTATTGTGTGTGTGTGTGCGCGTGCGCGCGCGTGAGTGTGTGCGTACGTGCGTGTGTGCATGCATATATGTGTACATGTGTGTGTGTGGGCGTGCGGTCACGCACCTGCTTGCGCGTACACATCTCCAAGTGTACAGTACGAGCTTGTAGACGCTGTGATATCTCTACAGTAGATTTTAGTGCTTGTGTGGGTGCATGTGGAGCTGGCATCATCTCGGGATGTATGCTATTAAATCGAATATGTTGTAGAGGCGTGTACATGCACAACATTCTTTTCTCAACCCCCTCTTCCATCATATGTGCACCGACCACCGCAGTACAGTAAAACCGGTGACTAACGACCGTCCCTTGGAGCCGGAGAAAGCGGTCTTTAGTGGCAGGTGGTCCTTAGTTAGAGGTTTGCACCGCACAACCATAATATATGAATGTGAGACCGCCACGGTGCCTGGCAAAGTGGTCTGTAGTACCAGGCTGGTCGCTAGTCACGGTGGTCTTTAGTTACAGGTTTTACTGTAGTACCAGGCTGGTCGCTAGTCACGGTGGTCTTTAGTTACAGGTTTTACTGTAGTACCAGGCTGGTCGCTAGTCACGGTGGTCTTTAGTTACAGGTTTTACTGTAGTACCAGGCTGGTCGCTAGTCACGGTGGTCTTTAGTTACAGGTTTTACTGTAGTACCAGGCTGGTCGCTAGTCACGGTGGTCTTTAGTTACAGGTTTTACTGTAGTACCAGGCTGGTTGCTAGTCACGGTGGTCTTTAGTTACAGGTTTTACTGTAGTACCAGGCTGGTCGCTAGTCACGGTGGTCTTTAGTTACAGGTTTTACTGTAGTACCAGGCTGGTCGCTAGTCACGGTGGTCTTTAGTTACAGGTTTTACTGTAGTACCAGGCTGGTCGCTAGTCACGGTGGTCTTTAGTTACAGGTTTTACTGTAGTACCAGGCTGGTCGCTAGTCACGGTGGTCTTTAGTTACAGGTTTTACTGTAGTACCAGGCTGGTCGCTAGTCACGGTGGTCTTTAGTTACAGGTTTTACTGTAGTACCAGGCTGGTCGCTAGTCACGGTGGTCTTTAGTTACAGGTTTTACTGTATATGCAGAAAAATGGAGTACAGAAAGTGCTAACAAAAAGTACACTTATACCTCGTTTATCCTGGCGGGCCGAGGACCGGGCACTGGCCGTAACTCCCAATCACATGCAAAAAAATGTTGATGGTGAAAGGCCATAGATATGGTATAATGACATCACTATTTCCACAGAAAGTGACAAAAGAGTAGTAACTTTTCTACTGAAAGTCTCCCGCGACGTGCCCGGTAGACCGAAATGCCCATGACTTCAGTGTCCGGATAACCAAGGTATGATTGTACAATCACGCGCATCACTGCACGCACAGCAGAAAACAGTTGACAAAAGCACGGTTGCGCATGCACTGATGCCACGTGTGCATTATTGTGCATGCTTGTGTGCGTTTTCTACTATTCAGGGAGAACAATACACGTCATTGCTGAATGACATTGCAGCTGGCAAGGTGGTGGACCCACGAGACCGAGCACTGACCTTTGCCCTAAGTATGTAACCACTGACTGTGCTGTCTGTACATGTGTGTATGGGTGTGTGTGGAGGGGGGGGGGGGGGGGGGGGTGTGCGTGCGTGTGCGTGCGTGGATTCCAGCTAGTTGGTTGGTGAGTACACCTTTTCCAGATAGGGTTGGGTATGTTGCAAGCAGGCTCGGCTGCTTGAAGGTGTAATGTTGTATCTGCCACCTTTGTTGGTTCCAGGTTCAAATACTGTCTATTTGAAGTATGCATACCTGTTAACCATGGACTACTTCTGGCTAGATTTACTGTAATCATGGTACTAGTGAAGGCTCGTATCAGATCCACTCTGATTTAGCCGCCCACACTAGTAGCAAGTATTACCTTCACTGGGAAGGGGTAACTGCAGTGGATCCCGGGACGGATACCCTGATGCCGTCAATCCTATTTACCAGTTTTGGCAGTGAGCAAATACAAGTTTGTGTGTGTGTGTGTGTGTGTGTGTATGTGTGTGCGTGTGTGTGTGTGTGTGTTTGTGTGTGTGTGTGTGTGTGTGCGTGGTTGAGTGTGTGTGTGTGTGTGTGTGTGTTCTTCCATGCCGCAGGCGGTGGAACTTACGGGGTAGTGCAACAAGGCACGAGAAATACGGTCAACGTTGACGGAAACCTTGGTGCAGGATGAAGACGTGTCCATTATGCAGCAAGGCGTCGACAACACACTCAACATTAAACGTCTCCATCGACGCATTGTCCGTTGCAGGCGGGGAAGGCTATCGTCCTGCCATCACCAAGGATGCACGCGAATCGATCACGACCGAATTGATGCGCTTTGTGCAGCGCTTCTCCAGAGGTGGTGGACTAGGTACGGTTGGTGGGCTTGTCAAGGGGGAACTACCCCCCCCCCCCTCCCCCCCCCCCCCCCCCCATGTCTGCTCAATCTTGCTGCCCCCCCCCCCCCCCTCTCTCTCCTCTCTCTCTCTCTCACTTTCTCTCTGTCTCTCTGTCTTCCTCTTTGAATCTTGTGATTTGTCACAGGTCTGTTGGGCATCGTGTTTCCTAAGTGTGTGTGTGTGTGTGGGGGGGGGGGGGGGGGGGGGGGGGGGGGGTATGTGTATCATCGTCTCAGCGATGATCATGTGTGAATGGAAGTGGGTGGGTGCATGTGTCTACATGCATTTACATAACTCACGCTACTGACACTACGGTATTGAACGAACCACGTTTTCCACCAGCTTCCTTGTGATTTCATGGAATGCATCGTTTCAGGCTCTAAGTTTACTTTTTTATCGAGCGAGCCCCCCCCCCTCTCCCCTCTCCCCAGCACTTCAGATGGTTGACCGCACCACACTAAATAATGTGTGTGTGTGCATGCACACGCTCGTGGGTGCTTGAATGGGCATGCATGTACGTGGGTGTGACGTAGTGTGACGTTATCCTGGCCTGGTGTCTGCCGCTTCGGTTAGTGAACGCCGGAACACAGTCTTGCCATGGGTGCATGCGTGTACTTTGCAAATGTTATGTTTTCTTCTCACTTTCACTATCTTATCTCCCCCTCTCTCCTTCTCTCTCTCTCTTTCTCTTTCTTTCTCTTTCTCTCTTTCTCTTTCTCTCTCTCTCTCTCTCTCTCTCTCTCTCTCTCTCTCTCTTTCTTTCTCTCTCTCTCTCTCTCTCTCTCTCTCTCTCTCTCTCTCTCTCTCTCTCTCTCCTCTCTCTCTCTCTCTCTCCCTCTCTCTCTCTCTCCCTCTCTCTCTCTCACTCTCTCTTGCTCTCCCTCTTTCTTGTGTACACCCTATATTTTCTTTCTTGTTCTGCTGGCATTCCTACACAGGCTCACAGCAGGATCACTCCTCACCAGTCACTGGAACACCAGTGGACGACACTCCTGGCGAGGGAGATGCGAACGATCGCGGCAACTACACCGTCCGTCCCTCCTCGCTCTTCTCCCTCGGCCAGAACTGCAAGCAGGTGATGGAGAGGATGCTAGGACTCGGCGATGCCAGCCCGGTGAAAGTGAGCAACGTCCAAGCGCTAGGCGAGGATCGCATACGCATCACGTTGACGGAGAAGGACCCGGCACCAGCTTACTTGGGTATGGCATGCACAAGCCTGATGCAGCCTGTGATCATTGTTAAATTTGCTCCACCTCCAGCACATGCACTCTCCGCCCAACCGCATTCATACCAGCAACATGACTCTAAGTCGCCGATCATGGCAAATGCAACTTCCTCTATACAGTGAATAATGTAACTGTTATGAAGTACAATGTGATCATTGTGCCTATTTGAAATGTCAGTCAACCAGACCACATCTCAAGAAAGGCCAACACATGCACTGAATTCGGGCCTTTCCAATTATGCTTGAAGAAGGGCTGAGGCTTCCTGCAGCTTCATCTGTGAAAAGAATTCGGGTGGACACACCCATTCCCATAGCGCTGCACATCACATCCGAACCAGTTCCGTTATTTTTACAACGTTTCGGCACTTGGCCATCGTCAGGTAATAACAATGAATACCGTGGAAGCCACACAAGAGCAGTATATACGCAGAGTGTAGCGCCAAAAAAGATGCGAATTATGTCACCTAGTATGCAGAAGGGGGGACAGAGAGAGAGAGAAAAGGCGCAACTAGCACATCACGAAGGAGAAGCAGCAGAAAGTAGCGCGCATTGTGCTCTGTGAATGGCGTTACGCAGAGTGTAGCGCCAAAAAATAAAATGATGCGAGCTATGTCACCTCTATACAGAGAGGGGGGGGGGGGGAGAGAGAAGGTGCAACTGTGCACATCACGGAGAAGAAGAGCGCGCCGTTGTGCTCTACGAAGTGAGGGCACATCCCAAATAATTATGGTGTTAATTCTAGCACAGCAGGGAGCACGGAGCCCCATGAGTCAATGCACTATGAGGTTAAACTTCCATGCCAAACTGTTACCACCAGGGACGCGACGAGGCATCAGGAACAGAATGGATTTGAGTGACCCGCCTCATATTATAATTATTCAGTGATATTGAAGTAGCAGCAGGGGAAGCTGAGAAAATTCACAACAAATCCCATCCGGTGCTTATGTTCACATGGGGCTTGGCATCACGAATCTCAATCGCCTCGCGCAATTTGCGACGGGCTCGATCAGGCTCTCTTCCTATTACTTCAACTGCAGAGAATGCACTTTGCCCATAGTTAAGTTTACATCCAGGGTGAGTGGTACGAAAATGTTGGCCCCATGGCTTGTCGAGTTCCTGGCGTCTTGCCTCACCATTATGTTCTTCCAGGCGAGTTTCCAGAAAGCGGTCAGTCTCACCAACATATTGTTCCGGACATTCTTTGCACTTCAGCTGATATACAACATTCTTCTGCATACATACATCCTGTCCCCCGGATATACACTCTGCGTATATACTGCTCTTGTGTGGCTTCCACGGTATTCATTGTTATTACCTGACGATGGCCAAGTGCCGAAACGTTGTAAAAATAATGGAACTGGTTCGGATGTGATGTGCAGCGCTATGGGAATGGGTGTGTCCACCCGAATTCTTTTCCAATTATGTCTTTGGTTAATTATGCCTTTGGTTGAGGCCAACCCCCCCCCCCCCCCCTCTCTCTCTCTATCTCTCATGGCTTGAACTACAGTCAAACTTGTGACTAACGACCACCCCTTGGGGCCAGAGAAACCGGTCTTTAGTGGCAGGTGGTCCTTAGTTAGAGGTTTGCACCGCACAACCATAATATATGAATGTGAGACCGTCCGTGCCTGGCAAAGTGGTCTGTAGTACCAGGCTGGTCGCTAGTCACGGTGGTCTTTAGTTACAGGTTTTACTGTAGTACCAGGCTGGTCGCTAGTCACGGTGGTCTTTAGTTACAGGTTTTACTGTAGTGCCAGGCTGGTCGCTAGTCACGGCGGTCTTTAGTTACAGGTTTTACTGTAGTACCAGGCTGGTCGCTAGTCACGGTGGTCTTTAGTTACAGGTTTTACTGTAGTACCAGGCTGGTGGCTAGTCACGGTGGTCTTTAGTTACAGGTTTTACTGTAGTACCAGGCTGGTTGCTAGTCACGGTGGTCTTTAGTTACAGGTTTTACTGTAGTACCAGGCTGGTTGCTAGTCACGGTGGTCTTTAGTCACTGATGTGTATCTATATTCATTACGTCATAGTTGTACTGCATGCACGCACACACACAGATTAGTTGAGTGTGCTTCTTTTTCCTGTTGTTCTTTCTCATGACATGTTTTGTTTCTGTTCCCAAGTCTTCACGAATAAATAGTAACGTATCATGGCGCAGTGAACTTGTTCTTTCCTGTGTCCGTGCCTTGTGTCCGCACCTTGTAGTGTTTGCACGGGCCCAGTTGGTTTTTCCGTATGAAGTAGTAGTTTCCGCGATCGAAACTCTGTCTCAGTTGAATTATTTTAGTAGTGTATTTTGTTCGTACTCGTGGACGAGTGACTAATCGTAATGGAACAATCACAGGACGATACCGGATTTGACCTGTCCTCCGCGACCGAGCGACAGCAGGAATCTCAAATGGGTGTCCTGATGAAATTTATGGAGCAGCAGATGCGTGCAGCTGAGGCTCGTGATAAGGCGATGCAAGATCTGTTCAAGAATGTTCAGAGCAGGTCGCTATCACCATCGCAGCCTCAGTTCACTCCGCAGCCCTCAGCACCAGCTCTGTCCACCTCGCAGACCTCAGCACCACGGCCAGTGAACAGTGTTTCCTGCCCACACTTATTGTCGTCTGCGACGCTGGCTGATTTTCACTCCTTCGTTGAAAGCTGGAGAGATTTTAGTGTTTGCCAGCATTTGGCCAGCCAGGCTCGTGAGGCCAGAGTGGCAACACTCCGTCAGTGTTTCGATGAGGAGCTGCGACGTTTTATCCGAGAGGATATTATTTGCATACCAGCTTCAGCTGACGTCGACCTGATGCTGGAGCGCATTCAGGCGTATATCAGACGGCAACGTAATCCACTGTTGGACCGCATAGAGTTTTACCAGCGTGTCCCGCAAGCTGGAGAATCATTTGATGCGTTTTACACAGCCCTGTGTGAACTACAAAGTGCATGCGACTTCTTGTCACACAGCCTATGTGGAACGTGTGATGCTCGCTGCTGTGCGCAGTGCAAAGGCCTCGGCCGTACCCTCAAGGAGGAATCTCTGCGCGACCGCGTCGTCATTGGTGTGCGGAACGATGAGACGCGACACAAGTTGCTCGCAACTCATGGTCTCACGCTCGACCAGGCTGTCACCCTCTGTCGGACGGAGGAAGCAGCATACCACACCAAGGCACACATGCCCAGTCCTGGCCTCCAGGCAAGTGCTGCCAAGCAGTCGGCGTACAAGCAGCAGAAACGTCACAAGCCAGCTGACTCTAAGCCAAGTGAGGCATCAAGTGCGGCCAAGTCCACTTGTCCAAATTGTGGTCGTTCTGACCACACGAAATCTGTATGTCCTGCCAAGGGCAAGAAGTGCAACTCCTGTCATGGCATTGGGCATTTTCAGCGAATGTGCAAGAGCCAGAAACAGCCGAAGACTAGCTCTGCTGCCAAGCTTGGACAGCTGAAGCTACAGCGTGCGTCTCGCGTGGACCGTCGCACAGTACCTGTTTCGACCATGCTGCAAACAGAGGATCAGCCATCCCAACTGTCCTGGACACCAGACACAGGCAGCGACGTTGATGCCATTGGTGAGGAGCACCTCACGCAGATCGGTGGGTTCGTCGAGAACTTAGATGACGACCACGACTGTGTGCAGGCTGTGACCGGTGAGCCGCTACGCAACCTGGGCAAGATACGTGCGACTCTACGAGTCGGTGAGACGCAGCATGAAACCGTCATCCATGTGTACAAGGGTCTACACGATGCCCTGCTCTCTCATACCTCATTGCGTGCGCTGAAGTTTCTCCCACCTGATTGGCCAGTCCAATTCACCGCTGAACACGAGGGTGCATCTTCACCCAAGATCTGTGCAGCTGTTTCGTCATGCGCTCATCCTAGTGATGCTGAGTTAGCGCGGACACGTGAGCAGCTCCTGCAAGAGTTCGCTGACGTTTTCTCGGATTCCGGTCTGAAGCCAATGGAAGGTCCGCCAATGGAAATTGAGCTACAGCATGATTCTAAGCCTTCCTGTGTGCACACTGCTCGACCAATACCGTATGCATTCCGTGACCAGATCAAGACTCAGCTCGACGGCATGGTCAGCGACGGGATTATTGAACCAGTGACGGAGCCCAGTGAATGGTGCCATCCGATTGTCATAGTAGACAAGAAGGGCAGCACTGAGAAGCGCCTCACAGTTGACTTCAAGCGGCTGAACGACCAAGTCCGTCGTCCCGCGCATCCCGTACATACGGCACGTGACGTTGTCTCTGGAGTTGGCTCTGCTAAGTTCTTTACGAAGCTCGATGCAAGGCACGGCTACTGGCAGATTCCTCTCAGTGACACTGCTCAGGAATTCACCACGTTTATCACCCCGTACGGCAGATATCGTTATCTACGGAACCCGCAGGGTCTAATATCTGCTGGGGATGAGTTCAACCGGCGCACTGATGCTGCGTTCTCTGCCATCCCGCGTCTCGGCAAGGTAGTCGATGATTGCCTAGCGTACGACGACGACTTTCTGTCGCATGTCAGCCACGTGCGCGAGATTCTGCTCTGCGCCAGGGAGCATGGTATCACGTTCAGCCCCGCCAAGTTTGTGTTCGGTACGCAACGTATCCATTTCTGCGGCTACAACGTCACGCCTGATGGCTGGGTCGTCGACGATGATAAGACGTCCGGTATTCGCCAGTTTCCAGTACCCGCCAACAGAACCGATCTCCGTTCGTTCCTCGGTCTAGTGAACCAATGTGGCGAGTTCACTCCACATCTAGCCGAGTTGACCAATCCTCTGCGTGGCCTGCTCAAGACCTCCCGTGAGTTCATGTGGGACGCTAGCCACACTGCAGCGTTTGAACGGACGCAGGAAGCTCTCTTGTCTCCTCCGGTTCTCGCTTTCTATCAAGTTGGTCAAGACCTCCGGCTTGAAACCGATGCATCCGCTCTAAGAGGTCTCGGATTCGTGCTTTGGCAAAAGCAGAATGATCAGTGGCGTATTATTCAGTGTGGATCCCGCTACCTGTCTGATGCTGAAACACGTTATGCTGTCATCGAGTTGGAAATGCTCGCTGTAGTATGGGCCGTGCGCAAATGCCGCATCTACCTGTCTGGTGCGCCATTTGAAGTCGTCACCGACCACAAGCCCCTGATTCCGATCATCAACTCATATTCGTTGGATCAGATCGAGAACCCGCGTCTTCTACGATTACGCCTCAAGCTCCAAGCCTATCAGCTGCAGGCATCTTGGCGAAAAGGTTCTGAAAATGCCTTCGCCGATGCGCTGTCCCGGAATCCTGTTGGCATTCCTTCCACCACTGATGAGCTTGGTGAAGCCCCGTCGCTTCATTGCCGCAGCATTCAGATCTGCATGGTGCACTCGGACACTGAGCCGAATGCGAATCTCAAGGTTGCAGAGCTGCGGGAAGCTGCAGCTGCAGATGCCACGTACCAGTCATTGATAGAGTGTATCTTGACTGGATTCCCTGATTGCCAGCAGAAGTTGCCTGCTCCGTTACGTGCGTACTGGAATGGACGTGAGCATCTCTCCGTCGACCATGGCATTGTGATGAAGGGCAACCGCATTGTTGTTCCTGAATCATTGCGTGCTCAGGTATTGCACAACCTCCACGCTTCACACCAAGGCCTAGTGCGTACTAAGTCTCGTGCGCGTCAGCTTGTATACTGGTCCGGTATCACCAAGGACATTGATACACTCGTTCGTTCTTGTCCTGCTTGCCGCGAACACCAGTCGTCCCAGCCAGCTGAGCCCCTGCTGAACGACCGAACCCCAACACTCCCGTTTGAATGTGCATCTGCCGATTTGTTCACTTGTCAAGGTCACGACTTCCTTGTGTATGCAGATCGTTTGACCGGTTGGCCCTGTGTCGCGCGTACTGGCCGCACCACCTCATCGCATGACGTGATACTAGCATTCCGTCGCTGGTTCTCTGATGTTGGTGTTCCTGCTGTGCTGTGTACAGATGGTGGTCCCCAGTTCTCCTCGCATAAGTTTGCTGAGTTTTGTAAGCGCTGGCAGGTAAACCATGTCATGTCCTCTCCCCACTACCCGCAGAGTAATGGGCACGCCGAAGCTGCTGTCAAAGCCATGAAGCGTCTTATCACCAAGACAACCGTGAATGGCAATCTTGACACAGATGACTTCCGCCGAGGGCTACTGGAATGGCGAAACACACCTGGCTCCTCTGGTCAGAGCCCCGCTGAGCTCCTATATGGCCGCTCTCTCCAGTCATTCGTCATTGCACATTGGAAGGAGTTTGATTCATCCTGGCTCTCCAAAGCGACGACACGTGATGAGACTGCCATGCCATCCGACGATGCCGTCACAGACAAGTCGTCAACTCGTCGCTCGTTGCCGCAGCTCCGCCTCGGCACCCACGTGGATGTTCAGCATCCGCGCACCAAGCAGTGGTCTATTCGTGGGATCATTGTTGCTGTCGGTAATCATCGGGACTACCTAGTGAAGTTGCCGAGTGGTCGCATTTATTGGCGGAACCGCAGATTCCTGCGTCCGTATCGCCCACTTGTGCCTGCACCGCTTGTTGTCCAACCGGCTGCTGCTGACGCCTCTTCCCCGCCGCCGCCGTCCCGCCGCAGCGCACGTCAGCGCAAGCCACCCCAGCGTTTAAACATTGGTTCGCATCATGGACAGTCCTATGATTGACACTCTTGATCACTAATGTCAATTTCTGCTGTCTCTGCTTTGTTGTTTTCATTCTTCATTTTGTTTTATTTATGATAGATGTTGCTGTCACAGGTTTCGCAACATCTCGAAGGGGCGTGATGTGTATCTATATTCATTACGTCATAGTTGTACTGCATGCACGCACACACACAGATTAGTTGAGTGTGCTTCTTTTTCCTGTTGTTCTTTCTCATGACATGTTTTGTTTCTGTTCCCAAGTCTTCACGAATAAATAGTAACGTATCAGTCACAGGTTTTACTGTAGTACCAGGCTGGTTGCTAGTCACGGTGGTCTTCAGTTACAGGTTTTACTGTAGTACCAGGCTGGTTGCTAGTCATGGTGGTCTTTAGTTACAGGTTTTACTGTAGTACCAGGCTGGTCGCTAGTCACGGTGGTCTTTAGTTACAGGTTTTACTGTAGTACCAGGCTGGTCGCTAGTCACGGTGGTCTTTAGTTACAGGTTTTACTGTAGTAGCAGGCTGGTTGCTAGTCACGGTGGTCTTTAGTTACAGGTTTTACTGTAGTACCAGGCTGGTCGCTAGTCACGGTGGTCTTTAGTTACAGGTTTTACTGTAGTAGCAGGCTGGTTGCTAGTCACGGTGGTCTTTAGTTACAGGTTTTACTGTAGTACCAGGCTGGTCGCTAGTCACGGTGGTCTTTAGATACAGGTTTTACTGTAGTACCAGGCTGGTTGCTAGTCACGGTGGTCTTTAGTCACAGGTTTTACTGTAGTACCAGGCTGGTTGCTAGTCACGGTGGTCTTTAGTTACAGGTTTTACTGTACGCAGCAGCTGTTCTTGTTCTGGCTGTTGAAGTCGAAGCCTGTCGTTTCCCAGTCTTTCTGCTGGATAGTCGGTGGTGTACCACTGGAGAATCACAGACAGACTGCTAGCACGGCAAAGCCAGGCTGGCATGACTGATCTGATGCATACGTCATTGCTTTTTTAATAATTGCGTGTGGTTATTACCGGTATGTAATACCGACTGCTATAATGGCAAGCCAGGTTTACATGACTGGCCTGCTGCACACGTCATTGTGTTGAACTATGTGTGTTTATTTGTATTTGCACTGTATGTCCATGTCTGTTTGAACTCTGTAAAGGCAAGGAAACCGACCCGTCGACCCTTGTCATACTGAAGCTGCGCGGTCCGCTGCACGAGTTTGATCAGAAGAAGGACCTGTTCCGCCTGCAGACTGCCGGCCTGCTGGGCTGCCCGCCCGACGCCATCAGCTTCATTCAGGCCACGCGCTCCGGCAGCGTTCGTCTTCTGGTTGCCATGCCGACCAGCTGCTACGCACGTCTCCTGCAGCTGGCTCTCTTCCAGCCGTCCGTGCTGCGGGCCCTCGGCATCTTCTGGCTGCAGCCCGTCTGCTTTCCGGCGTCCGTCAATGTAGCTGAGGCTGTCGACGTGACCACCGTGACTAGCATACTCGGTGAGCACTCACGTTCTTCATTCCTGCCTACTCGGCAGTTCCGGGTCGGGGCCCGGGGGGGGGGGGGGGCGTCACCTGCCCTGCCCCACTCCGCTTGACTTCGGACCCCGCCCGGTTTCGCCCCAACCACATCCTCCCCTTTCATGCTTGTCTTGTTTCTGTCCACCACCCCCTCCCCCCCTCCCCCCCCCCTCCCCCCCCCCCTCCCCCCCCTCCCCCCTCCCCCCCCCCCCCCCCCCGTGACACACACACACACACATATGCGTACACACACACACACACACACACAAATGCATACACACGCACACACACATGCACAGACCACTCCGTCGCCCCAGCTTGCAATGCTGATAACTGTTTTCAGGTTTTCTGTTACCCTGCTAGCTAACTAAGTATCCCAGTCTTTCATTCTCATCCCGCCGCCAGAAGAAACAAGTTGCCATGTTTCTTCAGGAAGCGTGCTTGGAAACCGAAATTAGGCATAGCATCAGTTGTCTTATGTTTGCCTCGCGGCATGAAACTCGGAGTTGCAAGAAACCTGAAAGTCCTCCGCTGAGTCTGCTATGTAATGAAGCATATCAATATTTTCCCTGTTTGCTGCCCCAGGCCGTGCGTGCTGCCGCACGATCTGTGACAGCCTATACGACGCGTATCAGATAAGTTCCGATCAGCGCGTCGGCTTGTCCTCGCTCTCGCTGGTTTCTCACCTTCACGACCGGCTGCTCGACGCGCAGATTCCTGCCGACAAGGTCGCCACGGCAACCAACGAAGCGCACGCCAAGCTCGCCCGTTGCCTGGACGACATTCGGCATGCAAGTCCCGACGGCGCGGACGATGGCAGCGGGCAACACCGCCAGTGCATTGCCGAACTCCTGGCACTGGAGTTTGAGACGGGACGAGCACACCACGGTGTTGATATATCCGCTGTGGCAAAGGTACTTAGTCAATAGACACACATAGAGTTATCCGGTGTATGTACTGTATCATGGTGTGCTATCTCTGATATTATGCTACAGTAAAACCTGCCTCAAGGCGACCACC